CCGCCCCCGCTCCCCGCCCCCCCGAGCCTGCTTCGGTTGGAGCCGTAACCCCGTACTCCCGCCCTTGGCCCGACCTCGCTGTGCTGCCTGCCTGCGCTTCCCTAACGAGCTAGTTTGCTGTTTAATGAGCTAATTGTCGGCGTAATTATTTATCGAGGTGGTGTCGGCATCGCGGCGGCAGTGGCGGGCGCTCCTCGTGGTCCCGGAGCGCAGCTGTATTTGTCGTTTCCCAGAGAGTTTGTTGAGACAAAGCAGAGAGGAGTAAACACCATAAACATGTCCCCTCTTGCATATTCAGCAGCCGAGGGGCTGGGGAAGCTGCAGACTGAGTGCAGAGAGAGCAGCAACTGCACCCAGGGGCTGCTGGGGTTTAAATACCTTCATGGCATTGCCCTAAAACCCTCCTGCTACTGCTGGCGGACGGGTAGAAGGTGCCGGGATGCTTTACTGCGGCAGAGGGACTGTTGGGGCCACAGAGTGTTTCTTCCCAGCAAAGCACCTGAAGGATCCTGGGTATCTGGATGGGAGCTGGGTATTGGCTGGAGCATCGCTCCCATCTTGCTCCATGGTTGGGAGGATAATTTTCTTGGGTCTGCTGTTGTAAGATGTGTCCAGCCTGGTGATAGAGGAGGATGCTTAGTGTGTGTGCTGGCTGATGGGTAGGAGAGGGTGCTTGCAAGGCTGGGGTTCAGAGGATGGGTGGAGAGGTCCTGTTTCCCCCTTCTCCTGCAGTTGCAAAGGCGTGTGGTGCCCCACAGTCCTGTTTTGGGGATCCCCACATCTTGCATGCCTGGCTGTAGGAGTTCCCCCAGTTTAGGGAAGGACAAGCAAAGGTCAGACGGGGAAGGGAGTCAGTCTTTGGCCATATACTAACTCGGGCACCCCACAAAACCAGAAGTTAGAGTAACTGAGGAAGCAGCCCAGCATCTCCGGACTACCCGGGGAGGCTGAACGTGACCGGCCGGTGTCGTTCCCGGTCCTCCCCTGCTGGAAGGCTGGCAAGGCACTGAGTCCTGGCTGCAGCTGGCAGCGGCACCACTGGCCTTGAGGCCGGCATGGTGAGGAGGGCGAGCAGCCTCACCATGGCTGTGGGAGGCTGAAACTGTTGTGGCTGCGAGTGCATTGTGCCCAGGCATGGAAAAGCGTCTTGTTTTACCTCCTTGCTGGTGTCATGGGTTGCTGGCAGGAGTCGGTCCGGGCTGACCCTTGCTTCCCAGGCAGCAGCGGGTGAGAATCACAGAGCTATTTACTGCCCTTGTGTACGTGGAGCTCGGGAGCTTGGCGTTTTCCCATATGCTCCCTGCACATGCTGTATGGATTTAAAACCCCTTGGGGACTGGCATGCATTTGGAGGCTGCTGCTTGCCAAAAAACCTCTCTCCCCTTTAAATGCAAAGTTACATAAGGAACCTTGTGAAGTG